TTCTACGAATGATTACAGCTGAAATTTTTTTATCTTGTGAACTATTAAATTTTTGTTGAATTTCTTCAAGAGAAAATCGATTGTTTTTTTTGATAATTTTTGAAAGGTTATAACGATCATCATTATTTATGGAACATGATCTTCTGGTTCTTTTAGCTGTTAATCCATTATTGAGATTTTTGTATTGAGAAATTGTGTCTGTAATAGTACTTTTTGGAATTTTTAAGACATGACTAATGGCTTCATGAGTCCTTCCTCCTATCCAAAGTCCAATGACTTTTTCATGCTCAAATTCATTTAATTCGCGAGTTTTTCCTATGCTTCGAAGGTACAGTAAAAAAGTTAAAGATCATCACTATACAAAATTGATCATTGTTTTTATTTTTATTGCTAAATTTGGTGTATACATTATAACAAAAAACAAATACATAAATTTTATTTGTCAGAACCAGAGCATTTATTTAAAAAAAAAAATTTATATTAATTAATATATCCGATCTCAAAATAATCAAAAAGAGCTTGACCGGATACTTTTGATAGGGTAGTGTATTTTTTGCTTAAAATTTTTCAGCTATAAATATAAAGTAATATGTATATAAATCTTATTAAAACTTTTATAATTAATATTCTTAAAGGAATAAACATTCTTTCTGAAAATACTATTTTTTAAAAGTAGACCTATATTCATTATATGAAAAAATCTTTATTTACCTTGAGAATTTCTACTATTTAAAGAATTCACTTTAGTTTTATGTAGGCATATTTATCATTAGAAATGTCTTAAAAAGCATCTGATGAATAGAGAAGTAATTTTTTCAAATAAAAAATATAATAAAGTTATTATAATTTTTCTTTCTTCAAAACTCTTTAAGGGATTGCAAGACAAATCTATAACCTCAATTATGAAAAATACTACTATTAAACAAGTAACTCTAAAAATTTAACTCCTATAGATAAGAATACTGATGCAATTTATATAAATGAACTGGGATTATTAGGTGAAGAGAAACATTTGTTTAAGACTACTAGAGTCATTAAAGAAACTTCTGACTAGATAACTAGCCCTATTGAGGTTATTAATACTATATTTAGTAATTCTAAAAATATGAATAGTTTAATTTTGCAGGATTTTAGTAGACAAATCTAATATCTTATATGTAAAAAATGCTCTGAAGAAATTTCTATAGAATTTTTAAAAGACACCATCTTTTTATCTTGTAAGCATAACATGTATTATGATTATATTAATGATTCTCATAAAAGATATTCTACCTGACACAAGTAAAGTCAAGAAATTTTACTAGAAAATTTACAGAAAAATGTATTAGAAATCTTCTACTAAAAATTTTTTAAGCAAAAAAGCGAAAAAAACCAGTAAGAAAAAGGTATTAAGTACACTAAAGTAAATTATTAACTGATATTTTCATTATTGGTGAAAGCTCAGAAGAAACAAATTATGTAACTGATTCTGAAGGTATTTTTTACAACTTTCTGATAAAATAAATAATACTGAAACAAAAAACGAAGATGTATCTCATGCTCTTGTCTCCAGTTATTTTGATTTTGAGAAAGTTTTATTTAATCAATATAAGGAGTTAAAACTCACTTATAATAAAGAAAGAGCTAAGACTTTAGTCAAAAATGAAATTAGGAAGGAAATTTTTAATGCAAAATTATCTGATGATACTTTGAAAAAAAGGATGAAAAGAGTCTGAAAGATGTTTAGAATTTTCAATACTATAGGCAAAAAAAAATAGTACAGGTAAAATTTATCTCTCTAGGTAAAGTTACTTGTCTAAACTTATTTTAGATTTGATAAAATGTTTAAACTATAGTTTTACTAAATTTTTACTAAAGTTTTGATATAGTTTTACCTTTTCTAGAATTTTGCAGATTTTTTAATAAGATTTTAATATAATTTCGCTAAATTTTATTTTTTTCTATTTAGACAATTTGTAAAACTTCTAGGTTTTATCCAGTAACCTTACCTTTGAGTTTCATCTTGAATCTTACTGTAGATAATATTAATTATGTAATTGCTAAAGTTTTAAAAAGATTAAGAAATATGTAATATTGTATCACATTCTACTGTATTCTGGTGATATAATATTTTACTTTGATAATTAGAAAAATAGCTTTTCTTGTAGTTGTATTTCAAATATATTAATAAGTATTTTATAAAAGTTTTGCCTATATTAAGCTAGTAATTTTTAACTAATATACTACATGCATTAACAATTACTATTAAATATATACTTTATATAGTCAAAGTTCATTATAGTGAACTTTTAATTTTAACCAATTTATTCACTATAACAAATGTTCACTAAAATGAGAAATCTCTTTATAGTAAATATTATATAAATAACAAAAATTTTTTTATAACGTGATTTTTTCAAAAATTTTATTACTGTATTATATTATTAAAGTAAATACAACATCTTGAATTTGCTTATTAATTCTTGATTTTAAAATATTAAGAATTTTCATCTTTGTATAATTAATTGTAATATTATTAGGTAAATTTTTAAAATATTAAATTACCTTCTCTAAACTATTCAAAGCTTCTTTATTGGTAATAATATATTTTCAATTTATCATCTTCTTCTACATTATTATTTTCAGAACTTGAAATTATTGCAGCTATAATTTCTTCATCCATTAATGATTCTATTGGTATTTCATTATCAATATAGATAAATCTTTCAGCTGTAATAAGATTTTATAAATTTAAAATGTTAATCATATCTCATAATTTTAAAGTAATTTTATCAATATTATCAATAATAGTTTCCTAATCTTGATTAGAATCATTTTCTTCAGAATCAGACAAAAACCTGTTTTTTTTCAACAATTTTTAATTGTACTTGACTTTACAATTTTTCAAATTTTACTCACAAATATTATAGTATCAAGAATATTAATTAGTAGTATTTTAGAGTTGTCTTCTTGAAATAAATCATATGAATAATTCTATTTGTGACTAACAATTTTCTATATTGAACCTAAAATTTTATGTATAATAATTAATAAGTAAATTATTAAAAAAAATAAATACTAATTATTATTCTTGTCTTAAAACTATTGATAATATCAGCATCTAAAGATTATAAATGAGAAGTTGTATTTAAAGGGAAAAATATACAATAATATTTAATAATTAAATATTTTCATCTATTAAATGTGTAGGTATATTTTCTACTAATAATTAATGATAAGAGACGAAACCCCTTAATAACAGTCAAAACTTAGATGAAACTACAGTCAACTCTTGATATAGTGAACTCTTGATATAACGAATTTTTTGAACAAATATATTAAAAATACTCTTGTTATAGCGAATTGGCCAATCAAATCTCTTAAAATCTTCACTATAGTCTTATAGTGAAGTTGAGATCTAAGATATAGAGTTCATTATAACAAGAGTTGACTGTATATTAAAATTATAATAAGGGATACAATGAAATTCTTTCAATACGACAAAAGTTAAAACTGTTGAAACTATATTAAAAACATAGAAAAGGGTATGACGAAATTATTTTGAGAAGATTTCGACAAGCATCTATACTAATAATAATATATTATAATTTTGCTATTTTATTATTTGATTAAATTTATTTAGATAATCATGTCATACTGATACTTACATTCAAGCAGTACGATACTAATAATATCAAACAAATAAATCATCCTTTTTAATTTCTTTTAAAACACATAAGATTTGCCATTTATGTATTATTAAAGCAAATAATTTATGACTTCCATCAGCATTACAAGTTAAAATAACTGTAATACGATTTTTTAATTTTTAATACTAGCAATATATTAATCTGAAAGAGTTTTCGATGACTTTAAATTCTAAAATAAAGCTAAAATTATAATATTAAATTTAAATAATAATCATAAATTTTATGTTGTATAATTTTAATTTGTATTTACCTGTTTTATCAATATTATACAGTAGCAGTCATAAGTATCCGACCGTTTGAGATCGTCCAAAATTATTATATAACTACCCCTTAAATTTTCCAGAAATATAATATAACATAATACATGATCACCTG